CACCGCGCTCAGCCAGTGAGTGCACCGGCCATCCCTATATAGGATCCGAACCCGCGGCAGGCACGTCGCTGCGCACCCAAGCGCCGCACTCTCCCGAGTGCACCACGGGGCTGGCCCCTGGATGCTCTATTTTGTAGCTGCAAGTCCTCTCATGCTCAGTCTATGGTTAAGGGAGAGATCAGTGACCTGAAGCCTTAAACTTCATGTTCATGTTTTAACCCTAAGAACTAATCTTCACTCTACTCTTTATTTTGTGGGGCATAAAACAGTCTTTCTGTGGGACATGAACTTCAGCTGGAGGGCCACCTTCTAGCCAGGTATTATTCTTCTGAGAGAAGGAACCCTGCTGTCCCTAACTACTCGTGAGCTAACCTGGGCTCTTGGTTATGAAGCTGAAAGCATTCAATTGTTAGAGGCTTCCAGAGCCGGACAATGAGCAGCACAGGTAAAGGGCTATTTGTGATTACAGGGAATCAAGTGCTGTTAACTCCTTTTCTTCGGTAACATGACCACTGATGCCTTCCTAGATCCCCTTTACCAGCTACGGCTGAAGGGCTTGCACATGGCACCTTCTCTGGAAGCCACACAAATATTACTGGCAATCCCAGGCAGCCAATGACTGACTAACACAGAAATATAAAAGCTAGACACCCTTGCCTCAAAGAGGGAAAAATCCACAGTGCAATTTATACTCCAGAGCTTGGGATCAGGCTAAAGAGAAACACTATCTGAGACCACATCTTTGCTCAGGTCTTGCCCTGGCTCCATCTTGCTTCCTCCACTCCCCTTCTCTGAAGATCCCTTCCTCAGTAAATGACAGGCACCTGAATTCCTGTCTTGGTCTGTTTCCAGAAAACTCACATCACACAAAGACAGACCAGAAAAACTGGGTGGGGTCTTTTAAGACGATCCTTGGTGTCAGGACTGCTTGAACACATCAAGGGAAGGAGACTCCCTTCCTCATTCATTCAGAACCATTGCTACCATTCAGAACTGACCCATCCAGAATGGGCTCACACCTGAGCAAGAGAGATGTTTGCAGGATGACCCAACGGAATGTGGGAAGGATGTTTTAGAATTACCTCGATTATGATGTCACATTTTATACAATTTTGTCTGTAAATGAGCACACATATATTTAATGTAAATTTATTTTTCTGGTGGTAGTAAATAATCAGAAAACTTTGGAGACTACTATAGCAATAATAATAAATCTTCATAGCAGCCTTGATAGCAGAATTCTTACTCAAAGCCCACACAAGTGCTTTTATATCTCAGATGTAAGTGTGTGTGTGTGTACACACATAAACATTGTTGAGACTATGTCCCCAAGTCCACGCCATAATCCCACAGTGAACATTTTCAGACTTACCTCTCCCGTTCTGCTTTATTCTTGATAGATTTATCTTGGCTAATGGCTTTGCTGTTTTCCATAGAAATCTTAGCCTGGTGTGCTCGCATTTCCTTGCTTTCCCTATGTATTAAAAATGAACAAACAAATGAGGGGGTCATGGAGAGTTAGTGTTTAATGGGTACAGAGTTTCGTTTGGGGAGGACGGAAA